TGAGAGTTTCCCTTCTTTCAGTCTTTTTTGTCTTTAGGATTAGAAATGTTAAGTAGGATAAGGGTGGGCAGCCTCAGGCAATACCATCTCTGATACCCACAGTGAGTAGAATTGAACATTTTGGCTGTGTTTTATTGTAAGAGTTATAGCCCTCCTTTCCTCTACAAACCTAAAGTAGCATGTATAGCACTCCCTAATCCTGTGAAATATATCAGGCTAAGGGAGAATGATTGGCCCAAGGTCACCTACTGGGCCTCCATAGCTGAGGCTGGAGGTGCCTCAGGCTTTGCAGAGGCTAAAGGCCCAATAGAGCCCTTTTAAACCATAGCCTCCCTCAAACTAAGCATAACAGATAACAACTGAGCACAACGGATATCGTAAGCTGTTGCAAGGCTTAAGCTACCAATTTACCCCCCTCCATCCATTCTAGTTACATCACATCACCAGCTACACCCCCTGTAACCTCTTGGAAGGACACAAGCAATTCCTTCCCTGGCTGAAAAAGGTTGCATAACCTTGTGCTATGATGTTAGCATGTAAACTAAACCATTTTCTCTCTGTAAAAGTGAATGATTGCTTCTCCATGCTTTCTGGTTGTGTATAAAAAATAAATTGTTACTTTGTTCGAATATTAATATTTGTCTGAGTTAATTCTTCCCATTGCTTGTTGAGTGAATTTGAATTAGTTTCCTTTAGCAGCTCTATTTCCCAAACAGCAGTATTAATAAAGTATAAATTAGCTGTGGTTTGCACTACACTGCAGTTAAAACATCCTTCTCTTTGGCTTATGGCTATATATATACAGGTAGTCCTCAGTTTAAGAACAAGTTCTTTTCCCAAGGTCTGTCCTTAAGTTGAATTTGTATGTAAGCTGGAACAGTAGTATTGTATAATACTGTATTATTGTGTAATTAACTCAAACCGTTGTGTATTTAATTCAAATCATTGTGCATTTAACTTGGATTTTGCTAAATAGGGTGTGTTCTTAACTATGGGTCATCCTTGAACCGGGCATTCTTAACCTGGGAACTACCTGTATACAAATTAATATGGACAAGAATCTCTAGCAATGGCAGCAGAAAGGAGCATGGGAACAGCTAGAAAAGGAGGAGATGAACTTCCTCCTTTTCACTTTACATTAGGATCCAAGCCATCCGCTCTACAAGAAAATGTCTATTTTGGGAGGTCCCTTTTCAGAATAATTTCCTCCTAAGGAAAAATGGGGAGAGAGCAAGTCCTCTTTTGTCCAAAGTTCCAATCACAAAGAGAAACCAAACACAAAGTGTGGCTACTGCAGTTCCATTCTAGCCCTGTAGAAGTATCCCAGGATATAGTTAAAGAAACCATACTAGTATGATTCCTGGCTACAGGTTCCATTAGATCCCATATAGTACACACTTCACAATCTTGGCTGAAAATAGATCCATTCTTATTATAACTCTGATGCTGCAGAAACTAGGTCAATAAGAAAATTTGAATAAGACTTCAGTCCTGTACCAAGGTAATTTTATTGCATCCTGTCAGTCCTTAATTCAAGCTCTATGAGCAGATCTATGATCCAGCTTAAAGGTTTCTGGTTAAGCAACTATATGAATGACATATCCTATTACAACGTAAGGTAGGATAGCTATGGTAATAACTTTGGAAGACAGAAACAAAATTCAAAATGATCTTGACATATAAAATTCAAAATGATCTTGACATATAAAATGGGCTGAAAGTAGCAGAATGAAATTTAGCAGAGACAGGTGCAAAGTCAGTCACTTAAATAATAATAACAACAACAACAACAAAACAAATGCCAAATATAGGATGGGATATACCTGGTTTGGTAATGGTATTTGTGGAAAAGATTGTGGCAAAAGAGCTGATTGCAGATTGAATCTGAGTAAGCAGTGTGGTGTGGCTACAAAAAAGTAAGTGCATTGCTAGGCTGCATCAACAAGCATAGATTTCAAAATTTTGGAAATAACAGTTCTATTTTATTC